TGTCCTGTAAATAGGATTGGAGGAAGAGAGGGTTAATAATTTACAAAAACATTAAATGAAAAAAATATATGTGAAATTATACTTACTCTACAAAGTTCTTTTTATAATGGGCTTCGAGGAATACGGACTTCGTACCTTATTGGCAAATCCTTTTCTGAATGCTACTTCAAAGGTAAGTTCCGTTCTTCCAAGAGAAAATAACACCATTTTCACATTACCAATGGAATTCTTTATAGTTTTTGTTGTTAGACTTTTATTGATGTTGTTATTGACCACATTTCTTATTATATGAAGAATTTGGTTTCGAATTCTTTTGCAAAGAAGCAATTCTGAATTACGCTTTTTAAAATAGCGGCTCTGATAATAACCTTTTTTAGGTATTCGGTAAGTTATTCGCCTTTTCTTCTTTTGTAACAGATTTTGTTCATTAGGGATTAGAACTGGTGGATTTATGTCTTCAGTCAAAATACTCTCCTCTGAGCTGACTTGTTGAGCTGTGGCTAAATTCTCCTGGCTGTTTAGCTCTTTTACTCTCTGAGCAATTTGAGAGTTCCGATGACGAGGCCGCAATTTCTTTATTCTTCTTTCTTTATCTCCCTTAAACTCTTTTTGCATGAATTTGGGGAAACTTCGCATGATCCATTTATATTTAGGACAGTTGCCAAAGTGAACTTGTTTTTTCTTGTTAATTTGGCTTTCCTCGCTTGATATCTGCACAAATGACAGTTTATTGAATAGGCATATATTAGATATGATCCGAACCTGGATTCCTACCAACTGAGACGACAAATAACTGAGAATATAGACTTCTGAAAATGTTACGTGAAGCTGTGCGAAAGAATTGCCTAGAAAGATGGCAGAATAAAGATTAGTGATTTCATTATGACGATGCATGATCACATATGGCTCATTCGGTGCTCGCTTATTTAACAAAAAAAAAAAAAATAATAATAATAACACCCCTGTGTTTTCACACCCTCCCTATTGTCCTTCTTTCAGCACAAAATGACTTTTTTATTTCTCCAAAAATAAATTGTCACCAAAAGGTAAAGCCTTTAGGCAGAGCGCCATTTAGTGGAACAGAAATCAGCTAAACATTGATTTAGCCTGTTCCCTGATATTTGGCCAACCCATTTTCTTGATAAATCAAGAAAAGCCATCCACGAAAAGCCAAAAATGATACGCTGTTAATAAAATAATAAATACTTTGCTACAATATATATAAAATGAAAGGATTTAAGCATTGCTCGATGCAAATATTTATTTGTAATTCTTCTATCCTATAAGCTTATGTTCATAGTTTTCTTGAAAACCATTTCTGAGATTTTACCCTTCAGTATAGCATATATAAGCAGAATCGTCCAATACAGTATTAGAGCTTTAAGAAGCAGTCTGGTGGATTAAATTGGCGAAACCGCTGGGAGGGTTCACCACTGATCAGCCAAGTCCTTCCAATATATTTTTTCATCGCAGTAAGAACAGTAGAAGTTTGTTTTGTATGTGAAAAATAAACATTAGTTTTTAAATGCTTTCATTTTCTATATTTATATGGTGTGTTCATATTAATTAAACCATATAATATTTATATAAGACTAGGTTTATGTGTGTGTGTGTGTGATCAAATAAAATTATAATATTCTTCTTTTTCTTATCTCTGCTCAATATCATATCAGGGTATCAAGCTTGTAGAATTTGTTGATGGTGTCTGCTGGGGATGAGTAGAGCTCATCAATGGATGAGTCAATACAGTCAATGTTGACATTATATCCTTTCATTTTATATTCAGTGATTTATTGAAAATATCAACAACAACAACAAAAAGCCTTTATTCAGGGTCACTGACCCTATACAGGGTTCACCAGAGGTATGCATAAGAACAAAGAAGTGAGACAAAGGAAATAACGATATATACAGAAGAAAAAGAAAAAAAAAAACAAGAAAGAGAAAGAGAGAAGCAAGAAAAACAACACAAAAAGAGTAGCAGTAAGAAAGTGAGGAGTGAGTGTCACTTGGCCTTCTTCTGAGATATGGACTTGTGGAAACCATAAAACGCCGTAGCAATATACTTTATTGAAAATATCTTTAATAAAGATAAAAACTCATCCAAATATTAGTGTTTATACTCAAAGAATAATTTACAAGTGTATTTGCACAATGAAGAATATATTATACTTGTATATTCAGAAAGAGATAGGAATCTGAAGTATGAAGTAAAAATGTTGGAGGCAAGGAATTCTCAATTCATTTCTAATCATGTAATTTTCAGAATCTTTTTAAAAAGAATTAAAGCAGTGGAAGACGAGTTGTTTTCGAGGACATGAGGAACAAACCTCAATACATATTTTACTGGATTGTCCTGTTTTTCAAGACTATAAAATCGACAATAATTTAATAGTAACAGATCCAAGTATTTTTATTTCTAGTAAAGAAACTCTTATTAAATTCAATACCTTTTGTAGATATATTTTTAATTATATAGCAACAAATATATTTTAAGAAACTGATAATTTATATTATGTTGATTGTATATATTGCCAGATACTTCACTCTTTTGTACACAGTTCTCTGTTCTCGTTTTTTCTCTCTTTCTCCTTTTCAATATCATATGACTATTCTCTTTACGTTCTAAAATTATTGCATATATATATATATATGTATATACAAATGTCAAGTCATATATGTATGACAACGCAAGTGTCCCTAGGGGGACAAGTGCCTTAAATTTAAATAAATAAAGGAACAAAAAAGGTATTGAAGACTTCTCAATTTTAATGTCCTTAATGGAATAATTTGAATAAACAAAAATGTTTTCAAATATTATTAAACAAATTTATTATCTATTTAGTACTATATATAAGCCGAAAAGACCATATCAACTATAATTACTGAAAAATAGCTAAAAGTGCGTATAGAAAAAAAATATAAAACATAATTTTAAACATTTTCGAATCTTACCTTCTTATTTTTATGACCCTTTGTGAAAAATTGTTTCACTCTACTGAAAATTCCTTTCTTTTCAGTGGTCCTGAAACATACGAGTTTGAGAGTGACGCTTTAGCAAAATTTTAATAGGAAATATTAGTGTTTATTAAGATACAATTTATTTTATGCCTTATATTAAAAGCTGATATCGATTAATGAAATAAAGAAATGAGGTTTTATTCATCTATTTATAAGCTATAATATCCTTGCAAGTTTATATATTATTTTATTACTAGACGAATGACCCGGCTTCGCCCGAGAATTCCCCCGAGTACAATTTCCTTCATACTGAAAGTATATCAATAATAAATAGTAAAAGTGCCATAGAATAAAAATACAGAAGTAACACATAAACCACAGGCAAAAAGTGTGTGTGATGGCAAAAATTGCATTATATTAGTGTTTAGGTATTTGATTTAATTAATATAGCTGATATAATAATATATATTTATATTATATATAATATAAATGAGTTTTAAAAATTGTAAAAAAAAAAAATGCATCGGCCGGGAATCGAACCCGGGCCCCCCGCGTGGCAGGCGAGCATTCTACCACTGAACCAAGGATGCTTATAAAAAATGGCCATATTTGGGTATTCATTCCATTCCGGATTACTCCGCGTAAAAAAAGTTCTTCAAATGAAAAGTTAGAAATAGTACATATTTCTCTTTGAAATTAATATTGATTTTCACAAAAAAAGAAACTTATGCGGGGAGGCTTTAAGTATTACTTTATAATCATACACCGCAGTCCTTTATATTGTATTAAAAAAAAGTTACTTTAAGTATTAGTTACGAACGGAAAAATACGTCCAGGGTAGCCTAGTGGACATGGCACCTGCCCGGTAAGCAGAAGGTTGTGGGTTCGATTCCCGCCCCTGGACACTTTTATTTTTCCGTTCGCCATTACTCTTCACATTTTCACCCTTTCATACGTCATCCAATCATATATAGACCATTACTCTTCATATATTCAACCTTTTCATACGTCATCCAAAAAAAAAAAGTTAGAAATCTCTATCTCTATCTCTATATATATAAAAGTCAATTCCTGTCTGTCTGTCTGTCTGTTTCGCGATAAACTCAAAAACTACTGAACCAATTGGTTCCAAATTTTGCATGTCGCTTTTTATAAACCTGAGGAAAATTTTTGGCTACATTTTGCTTATTATTTTTGGCTATTTCTTTTTTTAATTTGAAGAACTATTTTTTTACGCGGACTAATCCGGAATGGAATGAATACCTAAATATGGCCATTTTTTTTAAAGCATCGGTGGCTTAGTGGTAGAATGCTCGCCTGCCACGCGGGCGGCCCGGGTTCGATTCCCGGCCGATGCATTTTTTTAAAACAATTTTTAAAACTCATTTATATTATATCTTCTATATATATAAAAATGAATGTTTGTATGTTTGTTTGTTTGTATGTCCGGTATACAAATTCGCAGTGGTTCACTAATTCAAACCAAAATTTCCATACATAGGTAAAAAAATACGAGGAAAACGATAGGCTATTTTAAATTATATACAAATTAAATATTAAAACTATATATTCAAATTATTCTACTTAGCTCACGAACAGCGCCCTCTATCAAGGTTATAAATACGTTTAAAATCGAAATCTTCTCAAAATTTTATTAATAATAGTTCGCTTAATAATTAGAATACTTGATCTAAATCGAAATATTTATAGACGCTCGCTCGATTTGAAGATTTATATCGTAACTAATCTGACTGTAAAGTTTGGAGCGGGACGTTTCACAAGAGTGACATTCACGGCGCCAATTTATAATTGTAACGAATAGTGTTTGAATAAAACATTTAATCGGGTAAACCCGGGCGTTGCCCGGGTCATTCGTCTAGTAGTACATATTTCTCTTTGAAATTAATATTGATTTTCACAAAAAAAGAAACTTATGCGGGGAGGCTTTAAGTATTACTTTATAATCATACACCGCAGTCCTTTATATTGTATTAAAAAAAAAAGTTACTTTAAGTATTAGTTACGAACGGAAAAATACGTCCAAGGTAGCCTACTGGACATGGCACCTGCCCGGTAAGCAGAAGGTTGTGGGTTCGATTCCCGCCCCTGGACACTTTTATTTTTCCGTTCGCCATTACTCTTCACATTTTCACCCTTTCATACGTCATCCAATCATATATAGACCATTACTCTTCATATATTCAACCTTTTCATACGTCATCCAAAAAGTTAGAAATAGTACATATTTCTCTTTGAAATTAATATTGATTTTCACAAAAAAAGAAACTTATGCGGGGAGGCTTTAAGTATTACTTTATATTCTTTTTTTTTTATTATCCTTAGTACGACATGGTACAGGCCATGATAATCATGGTGGGTAGAAGTCAGCGACTGCTTTTACTGTAAGTGCATTACATGTCTACACATGTGAAAAGCAGTTCGAATTGTGCATTTACAAATGTGCCAGAGCCCCGTTTAGTTACCTGTACTTGCTGGTGGGGTTGGACTTTTGTAAGAATCAGGGGCCATTGGGGCATTTTTTCAATCAGAAAAAAGTGCCCAATGCGGGATTCGATCCTGGGTTGTAGCGGTCGAAAACCAATGGTTTAGACCACCGACCCCCATACATATTCTAATTTATCACAGTTTCACATCACATATGAGATCTATCTAATATAATTATTTCTTAGAGTAAAAACATACTCAGGAATGCAGTTCTGATTTTGTCCTTTGTTTTCTTTTGATGGAAAACTATTTGAGTAATTCTTCTTCTGAAGTTTTGTAAGACAAAGTAGATTTGCCAAGATAGCAAAGATGTTCATTGCATTGGTTTTCTTCTTAGAAGATCCGACCCCCATTTTTAGACTTTAGGTTTTATCCTTTCATTAGTAATTGATAGGTTCTCTGAAGTTTAATATATTCGCAAGGAGTATTCAGTTATAGAACGTATAGTGCATCATTTCTACTTTAACATATTTCTTCTTATAAAATAACGATCTTTTATGGAATTATTTTATATCTAAAATATTTTTTTAAACTACATTGTTTAACACTAATATGATGTTGATATATAAACAAATGATACATTTCAGGCTGTTAGCCCTCATTAGAATGATGCAAGCTGTACCTCAACGACCAAATATTTGTTCCAAAAGATTCATGCGAAATCAAGTAAAGGTATTTAAGACCAAATTTGTGTAATTACGCTGATCATGTGAGAAAAAAAAAAAAGAAAAATGATCAGGTTATGATATTAAAAAGAAAACAAAACAAAAAAATATTATATCCTGACTGCTCAAATGAGCATTTTTAAGATGGCAGAGCGCCATCTAGTAAGGAAAAAATCAACTAAACGTTTATTTAGGCTTGTCTCAAGATACTTGGCCCTAACCCATATTCTTGATAAATCAAGAAAAGCTAACAACGAACGATATGTCTTTTTTTTTTGTTTTAATATCAACATATGGTCATTTTGCTATTATCTTTTAGTTTTTCACATTATCTACGTAATTAGGCTAATTTGGTCTTTAATACGTATTTCTTTATTTCTCTAAGGAAGCCTCTTGGATCAAAATATCGGTCGCTGGGGTACAGCGTGCACCACACCAACGAGGGCCAACAGCCTGAAACGCGTTCGTGGTTGACATTTCTTGATTTACTTAGTTTTTTCTCATTATCTGCGTAATTATGAAAATTTGGTCTTAAATACCTATTTCTTTATTTCTCTAAGGAAGCCTCTTGGATCAAAATATCGGTCGCTGAGGTACAGCCTGCATCACATCAACGAGGGTAAACAGCCTGAAACGCGTTCGTGGTTGACTTTTCTCGATTTACTTAGTTTTTTACATTATCTGCCTAATTACGAAAATTTGGTCTTAAATACTCATTTCTTTATTTCTCTAAGGAAGCCTCTTGGATCAAAATATTGGTCGCTTGAGGAACAGCTTGCACCATGCCCACGAGGGCCAACAGCCTGAAACGCGTTCGTGGTTGGATTTTCTCGATTTACTTAGTTTTTTTTTACATTACCTGCCTAATTACGAAAATTTGTTCTTAAATACCTATTTCTTTATTTCTCTAAGGAAGCCTCTTGGATCAAAATATTGGTCGCTTGAGGAACAGCTTGCACCATGCCCACGAGGGCCAACAGCCTGAAACGCGTTCGTGGTTGGATTTTCTTGATTTACCAAGAAAATAGGCTGAGTCAAATATAATTAAACAAGCTTATTTCAACGTTTAGTTGATTTTTATTCCACTAGATGGCGCTCTGCTATCTATATATTATAATTGATTTTAGAAATATTTGAGTAATTTATATTCTTCTGTATTAGGCTTAGAAGAGAGCTCCTATTATTTCACAAGTAAGGGCTTCAGAAAGTTATTCTATATACAGTTACGAGCGTCATTCCTGATCTCCTAATCAACTCTGTCACCGTTTGCTTTTTTTTGGAATGTCGCCCTCCTATTGGTTGGCTACGATCACGCCACCTTTGCCCCCCCCCCCCCCCATCATGCCTCCCCCACTCGCTTTTTCGTTTTTGTAACTATTGTGTTGGAGCGGGTCGCTCCTTAAATAAATGCATATATTAGTTAATAACTAAATGAAATCCTATCTTTCTTTTTCCCAGTATGAGACGCCTACGGAAGCCAACAGTACATAGACAGATAAAACACATAGGCTATAGTTATTAACTAATATATGCATTTATTTAAGGCGCCAATTTATAATTGTGTGTAACAAATAGTATTTGACACAACATTCAATCGGGTAAAATACGGGCGTTGCCCGGGTCATTCGGCTAGTTTTATTCTAAAAGAAACATACGCGTGATAAATAGTTTAAACTTTCAATAACAGATGACGCTTTAAAGCTTCAAGGAAGAGCATTGCTCGATACAAACATTTATATTATAGACGCGTAAGATTCTTTTTAAAAATAAACAATTTCTACTGCCCTTACTGCAATGAAAAAAATTGAAATTTGCGGAAGAGCGATTGCTTAAAGCATATTATATAATTATAATTGTATGTAATTATGCTGTTTTCAAAGCTTATGTCCATAGTTCATCTAAAATACCCATTCCAAGAGTCTAGCATCAGTATCACTATGAAAGGAAGATCGAAAAATTCAATTAACAGCGGTATGGTAGATTAAACGGGCGAAACCGCTGGGAGGGTTCACCACTGATGAGCCAGGCCCTCCCATTAATTTTTCCATTGCGGTAAGGGCAGTAGAAATTGTTTATTTTTAAAAAGAATCATACGCGTCTATAATAGTTTCGAATTTTGATAACAGATGGCGCGCTAAGGCATAAACACATTTATATGTAATTCTACTGTCCTAAAAGCCTATGTCCATAGTTTGCTTAAATACCATTTCTAAGATTCAACCCTTTTCACTGTAGCATATAAAAGCAGAATGATCCAATACAGTATTAGAGCTCTAAAGAAGCGGTCTGGTAGATTAAATTGGCGAAACCGCTGGGAGGGTTCACCACTAATGAGCCAAGCCCTCTCAATGTTTTTTGATCGCAGTAAGGACAGTAGAAGTTTGATTTATTTATGAAAAGAAACATTCGCGTCTTAATGTTTCATTTGTTATATATAGATGGTGCGTTATTGCTTTGTATTAAGTTTATGTTATGTTTAAAAGATATTTATTTGTTGTATGGTGGAAAAGCAATTCTTGAATGTTGAAATCACGCTTTCAGAGGAGAAGGAAAGCCAGTATATACATTTTAAGCTGCCGCAAGCTGTAAATTATAAGTCAGGTCTATATGAAAAAGTGAACGTTGTATAAGCTTATGATTTTGCTTTGTTTTAAAAATGAATCGATGTTGGTTCCATATGCTTGAATTGAATATCACACCTTAATTCTATATATTTTATTGCTTAAAAAAGAACGAAACAAAAAAGAAACTACAATTGCAAATGATTTGATAACTAACAAAGAAGTAAAAAAACACAATAATATTAAGATGATAGAAATTGAATATATGTCTCCCAGAAAAATGCTTCTATGAATTATAAAATAAGAATAATTACAAACTTAACATATAAATTTCAAAAGAAATTTCCTAATATATTTTTTTCTCTTTTTATTTCGATCACTTTTTTTTTGTATAATATGTTTATAACTGTTTCTGTTTAAAAAAAATGTAAATCGACGCAATTCTCCCTAGCCGGGATATCGCGTTTGTGTGTTGAAATAAATAAATATAAATTTCAAACAAGGTCTAAAGCCCATAAGTAACATAAAGATATTTCTTGAAAGAGAGAATATTGTATTACGGGCTACTCACCGAAGTGTATGATTCTTGAGCCCAAAAATAACGTAACAATCAAACAAGAAGAAGAGACAAAGATTCTCGAAAGAGTCCCTAGATATTTGTCTGTTTACCTTTGCTGGTTGCTTTGGGCTCGTTGATAGGGGAATACTGAAGGCCTTTATCTCCATTTCCTTAGTACATTTTAAGGAAAGTTTAACTGTGAGATGGAAATTACACCATTTATAAACTGATAGAAAGCCAATATTGTACAAGAGAGAGAGAGAAAGAGAGAGAGATTGAGAATAAAACTGATTTTTATTACAAAGTCCATATAAGATTATATAAGGTTAAATACAGAATATATATAAATATGAATAAATAAGATTATATAATTGATAAATATATGAATAAATAGAGAGAGAGAGACCGACTAACATCAATAACGGAACCAAATACAGCAAGGAGCTTCTGCTTTGCGTGCGTCAAAGTGAGAGGGAATGGCGCTCGCAAGAGAAAGATCAAGCTCTGCTATTTTGTTGGAGCTATATGTTTTGTTTTCTTAAAAAATCAGAATACGAAGATGAACAATTAATTATATTTATTTCAAGAGAGGGAACTTCCTGACTTATGGCCTATCTATCAACTATATATCTTCAGCCTAACTCGAGCTGTCTCTATACATAACATAAACAATCATAATGATAACCTTTCTTTTTTTAAATTCTATAAATTATTTACAGATTACATCACACTATACTCTGAGTTCGCTGTCTACACCCATGATACAAACGTCTCATATTTAGAAAAGTTTAACACTTTTATTCATCGGCTATATACAGTAAT